CAACTAATGCTTAATCTGTATGTGATATTATATAAGAACTCATTATAAGCTTTACTTATATATACGTATAATAAAAGAATAATAATAGTAAAAATAATAACTCAATTCTGATTTATTTACATAAATTAACAAATGAGATTTTATATAACTTAAAAGCAGATCTTAAATATATTAAAAACAATATTACTTTTATCTCAGATTCAGAGAATTTGAAATAGTAAATCTTAAGTTTTTAATATTAATTTATTTACAATAGTGAACACTTTCAAATTTATTGAAATACAATCTTATAGAAGAGAAACTATTTTGAAATAAATATAAATATTTTTTCACAGTTAAGCTGCTTTAAAAAGACTTAGAAATGATCAGATTTATTACAATTAAATAAATATTAAACTGATTTTAAATTCTGTTGAAAATTAAAAAGAAAAGAAATAGAAAAATAATAATTTATTTCTTCTAAAAGTCTGCTTATATAAATATTAATAAAAATGACTCTGATTGAATAATTAATGCAGTTACTCAGTAAAATCTTAATATAGAAATTTAAGACATACAGATTTAAAACTTACAGAGAATATATTAAATTCAAGAACTTAAAAATCTCAGATTTCTAATAACTTCAGAGATATATAAATTACTACAATAAATAACTCTATGTTTCTAATTAAAAGTTCTCAGATAGATATTATAGTTTCTCACTACTAAACTAATTACTGAGATTATAACTATTATATTTAATCTTATTTAATTTGATTCTATACATTTCTTAGTAAGAATCTTACTAAGACTAGTCATTAAAAAAACATGCAGAGTAACTATATATTAAATCTCAAAATGAAATCATGACTTGAAAAAAATGAGAAAGTGATCTCATTTAATCTTATTTAGTCTCATTCTTAGTATAAAGTTACTATTTTTAGACATTTTAAGGTTTTTTAGACTATTTTTAATTTTTTAAAAAGTAATGCCTTTTGATAATACTTAAATGAGATTTAAAGTGAGTTAAAGTAATAAAAATAATTTAAATTGAGAAGTGAAAATCATAATTTTATTTGAAAAATATAATAAGAGTAGATAGTAAGTCTTACTGAAACAGTATAAGACTACTATTTAATATTAAAACTGTGTAATGAGATCAGTTAAATTGATAATAATACTATTAAAAATTCTGATTCTGATTTCAGACACAGTTACATAGTCAGTCTACTTACTATATATATTTATAATTAAAGAATAATAATAATAATAGTAAGTCTATATTTCTAAGTTAGAAAGTTATTATTATATATATTTAATTATCACTTATTTATATTTTCTATATTCTTATTATTTAAACGTAATCTCAACTAGACTGACTACTGAGATTATGAATTTTATATTTAATTTCATTTAATCTAATCTTATACATTTCTTGATATGAATTTTACTGAGATTAATTATTAAAAAATATGTAAAGTAACTATTTATCAGATTTTAAAATGAAATTATAACTTAGAAAAAATAAGAAAGTAATCTCATTTAATTTTATATAGTCTGATTATTAATATAAAGTACTATTTTCAAATATTTTAAGATTTTTTTAGACTATTTTTAATTTTTTAAAAAGTAACACTTTTTAATAATACTTAAATAAGATTTAAAGTCATTTAAAGCAATAAAAATAATTTAAATTGAGAAGTGAAAATCATGATCTCATTTGAAAAATGTGACAAGAGTAGACAGTAAGTCTCACTGAGATAGTATGAAACTACTATCTAATCTTAAAATCATGTAATGAGATTAATCAAATTGATAATGAAATTATTAAATATTCTGGTCCTGATCTCAGACACGGTCACACGCTTCCTGTATAATTAACACTTGGCCTGTATTTAACATTATGTAAGGACTCATCATAAGCTTCACTTGTATATGAGTATAATAGAAGAAGAAGAATAATAATAAATAATAACAGCTTGACAACTGTGTTGCTGATTAAAATGATGAAATAATCATAATCCGGTCGTGTAATAACCCTACATTTCCGGTATGATATGAAAGTCATTTTAAAACAAGCTTTCCATGTTGTAGATGTTTATGAAATAAAAAACTCAACTATCTAGTATAAAAGATAAAAAAATCTTTACTGATTACAAAAAAAGAGAGAAAATGAACATTTAAATTTAGAAAGTACATAGGTAAAGAAAGATAAAAACCAAAAAGAAAAAAAAGGCATTTATTTTAGCGTTACAGGCAGAAAGGTTTTCGCTTTCTGAGCTGCCTTCTCTGCTGACAGCTCTGTAGCATTCTTCGATCTGGACTGTTTGATCCTTTGAAGAGACGCGAAAAAGAGGATGAAGAGCAGTTCAAGTCTATAGAGCACGCAAGGTTAGCAGGTCTGGGACCTTTTTGTGCCTTTTCTATTACACCTTTCTTAATGTAAAGAGCCGATGGAGAAATTCTTACCTTTCCTTTGTCATCATCAAGAATCCCTGAACCAGGAGGCCCTTCAGGATTTGTGGGCCAATTCCTTTGAATAAAGCTAGGGGTCCCTCATGCTCGATGATGTACCTCATAACTTCACCAAAACTCTTGAACGGTTTTCCTTGTCGGATCGCGGGTGGTCGGGACTGTAGCCCGACTTTGGCGACGATTAATGGTTGGGTTGCGATGGTCGCGAGGGACTTGGACGTTGCACCCAGAACTGTTTTGCCATTCATTATCAGCAAATATTTTTTCCTCAAGGAGGCCGAACTTTTACTTTTCTTGCAGGGGTTTTTCACTGACTAAAAGCTTCCCATGGTTTCAGACTGTTCTTGCCTTGGAATATGATGTCCTTTAGTCTCTGATAGGCTCCGTATGTAATGGCAGGGTTGACCACAAGAACAAGGCTGGCTTTGAGGCCTCTCCACAATCCACTCCACCCATCCTCGCTGTTAACTACTTCCCTCCCCGTATCAAATAGGCCCTTCTTTTCCCCTTTAGGTTGCGTCTGTTGCCTGGTTGTAATGACCGAGACTGGGATTGTGAAGATCTGGGCAATCGCACCGGCAACAGCTCCAAGGCTAAGTTCGACGGCGGTACCAGGTGGTTTCTGTACGCGGTTCGATGACATGTAGAGTGTTCGTACAATTGTGTACCAGTAGAAGTATGCGAAGTTGGTCGACGCTACTCCGAGGAGGGAGCCATGGATGCCGGAGTAGAGACCCTTGATACCCTCATCTGCCATGATTTTGTTGATTGCGTCTATCGTCGAATCATAGTGGACTTCGTCGCTGCCGGGGACATGGCCGTTTTCGAGTTTTGAAGATTTAACTTGGACTTGCAGCCGCGTTTTTACACTAGGTTGACCAAACAATATTAATATAGTTTTACTTTCTAATGCCTTCGGGACAAAGAACTAGAACAGCAAGATATCAAGGGCTCTCGCTCACATGTCTAATGGATATACTAATCCGTTTGCCAGTACAGCTCCTGTGGCTCCTGCGACGGCGCTTTGCAAGGGCGAAAGACGCACCGGCTTCGACTGACCGGCCATGGGGCCTTAGTTGGAGAGTTGACTTTGCCTTGTCAATGGGCTAGTTGGGTTACGTTCCCAGTGCCAGATGGGATTAATTCAGGCTCAGTTGAGACAAGCGGGGAAACGAAGAAACCGATAAATACTGTCTCTAAACAAAAGAAGAACAAATGAAATTGAAGGAAGGTAATCTGCCCAACGCCGCAGTCGAGAAAGAATACAGAGGAGGGGAGGAGAGAGGTATTTGTTTAACGAGATGTTAAATAGGCAACGCACACACAGAGAGAGAGAGAAAGGAAGGGATTGGTTAAATTATTTTTTTGTTTATCCGATACTTTCGTTTCAAGAATTCCCAGTTCTCGCAGCGGAGTGCCGAAACCTGGCTCCGGCTGCGGGCAAATTCACCCAGCGGGCGGGAGCATTGAGCCGAGGCATTGCAGACGCGGGTCTCGTGGGGGACAGCGAACTCTATCATTTAACAATTTAACCCCAAGTACGCACCAAAATACAACCTTATCAATATGATTTGGGAGCTGAAAGCAGCTGAGTGCAATATAATTTTCCTATTTTTTGTTTTAGCAATACACGTGCCTTCGCTAGCCTCACTACTCTTGTAGCTCGTGCAGCTCACCACAATGTAATTATCACCACAATGTAATTTTCATCAGTTTCATCATTAAACTTAGTATTATTATCAATTAGTCACCTACAATTAGACTAGCTGGCAGGAGTATGAATTTCACATTTAATCTCATTTAATCTGATTTCATACATTTCTTGATGTGAGTTCTATCTAAACTGGCCGTGTAACCGTGTCTGAGACTAGGATCGGAATATTTGATAGTCTGATTATTAAATTGATTGCTTCTATTATTATTATTATTATTCTTCAATTGTAGATGTATGCAGTCAGAGACTATGACATCTACCTGAGAACTTTTAGTTCTCAGGGTTTTTCCTATATCTGTAAAGTTAACTATTATACATTCATCAATTTCAGATATGTAAAATCAGAAAATTTCAGCTCAGAATACAAAAACTGTTTACAAATTGCAGTATTTTAACATCTTCTGATACTTTGCAATCATTTAACAATATCATGACAAAGAAAAAGAGAACACAGTCTTAAAGATAGACATATTAAATAGATAGACAGAAAGAAATTGAAAGAAAAAGATAAAGTAAAGAAAGACTGTAACAAAACAAATTATTAAAAGATAGTATATAGCTGTTTTAACAGACTATATCTGATTGATTTTCTTCTCTTCATATTCAGATAATTCTGAATTTAGTCATTTTCTTATAGCTGCTTGAGTTTCTGATAGAAAGTTTATTAAGTATTTAATTCCTGTCTCAGTTGAAAATAAGAATCTTATATTTAATTAATTTAGATTATACTTCTCTTTCAATCTGACTCTGAGACTATTGTATAATACACAGTGTATTATAATATACTCAGAATTCTTATTTATATTGCAGAATGAGCATTCTATTAAGTCAGATCTATCATCAAATCTTTGTATATAAGATTTAAAATAGCCATGTTCTAGTTTCAGCTGTATTATAGATGAGAATATTTTCTTTTTATATTTAATTGAACAAGATTTTCACTTCAGTTTTATTTCAAATCTTGAATAATGTATACTCTTCTTTTGTTTCTATCAGCTTTTATTTCACTTATCTAAATAAGATTCTTTTTTCTCTTTATAAAAGATCAGAATATAATTTTTTGAATAGATCTGCTTAATTCTGCACTCTTTTTTACAGCTGAATCAGTCAATTCATTATCATGAATATTCATATGAGCAGGAACTTAGTGTAGATGAATTATCAGCTTTGATATTCTTCTCTTTTGAATTTTCAAAACAGAGTTTAAGATCAGTTCAAGATTCATTTAATCATTATAAATCTGACTATTTCTAAGTCTTTTTAAAGCAGCTTGACTATTAGAGAATATTCATATCTCTTTCAAACAATTTCCTCTTTTATAAGATTTTATTTCAATGAGTTTGAAAGCTTTTACTATTATAAATAGTTCAGTATCAAAGACTTCACATTCACAGCCTAGATTTCAGAAATCTGAGATAAAATTGATATTATCTTCAGTATAAGCAATGCCTGTGTCTAATCTATTCAAGTTCTCATTTTTTAAGTCATCTGAATAAATCAGAATAGAGTCTTTTATATTAATTATAGAAATTCTCTTCAAATGCTGTTTATATTCTTTCTCTTTTGATAGTTCACTTATTTGTAAGTCTATAAGAGATTCAAGCTTTTCTCTTCAGAGAGATAACTTCTCATGATCAACTTTTTCAACATTTAAAGAAGAAAATTGATTTTTAATCAGAGAGTATAGTCTGTACAGTTGAGAAGGCATTTTCTTTGAAGAATTATTTTCATTTCAATCAAGAAATCTATTTCAATCCAGTTCATTTTCAGAGTTAATTGGTGAAGATTGCTTCTATTACGCAGTACTAAGACTAGATAGTAATTTCATATAGTTCAGTAAGATCTACTGTCTATTCTTATAACATTTTAAAAATGAGATTATGATTTCTACTTCTCAATTTTAAATTCATTTTATTACTTTAAATAAATTTAAATCTTATTTAAGTGTTATCAAAAAAACATTACTTTTTAAAATATTAAAAATAGTTTAAAAAAAAAACTTTAAAATCTTTAAAAATAATAAGTTTATATCAAGAATAAGATTAAATAAGATTAAATAAAACTACTTTCTTAATTTTTTTAAATTATAATTTTAATAATAGACCGTATCTGATTAATTATATAGACTATTTTATTACACTTTATAGATTTCTACTAAAACTCTGATTCTTGATTATTAATTCTCTGCTAAAGCTCTGATTCTCAGTTATTAATTCTTAGTTAAAAACTCATGAAATTTCTATTCTTTCATTTCAAAACTTTACTGTGTATATATATAAATATTCACTTTAATTATTAATTTCTGTACTTCTCTTTCTTTTTCTTTTCTAATATTTTTCACTTTGTATTATAAGGTCTATATATTATACTGATCTATTCAGTATAGATCTCTTACACTTGAAAAATATTCATTATCTTCTTATTAGAAATGATTACTCACTGAGATATTCAAACATGTAATGACATGTAAGAAATAGAGAAATGAATAATCAGTTAAGTAAACACTAAGTTCTTAGATAGAAGCTTACTCATCAGTTACTCTGACCTTATAACAAGATCTTATGAAGAGAACAAGATTTTACAAAGAGAATATTAGTGAAAGACTTAAGAGTTCTGACATAGATATATGAGATATTTAGATAATTACATATCTAATAAATGATACAGCTATGTCTACTGATAATATAGAAGAACTCTTGAATGTGAGTATAAATATAATATTACAGTAACTTTAAGCAATGTTGAAAGTATAACAGTAATAAATAGCTGATATGCATATAACTTAACAATATTAATATAAAGAAATTCAATAATTATCTTAACTAGAAATCTTCACATAAGTAATTTCAATATCAACTGAATCAGATATAAATATATAAGTGCTGAAGAAATATCTAGATACTTTTATATATTTAAATACTTCTGACCTCACTCTCTACTCATTATAAAGATTAAAAATGCTCATGAAACTAAGTATAGATAAAGATGCTATCAGTTTATTAACTAATCAAGATTGATATATCAATTATTGATTGAAGAATTGTATGAGACAGAAGATTCATTTATAAATAAAGACATGTGAACTAGTGTTATATACATCTGATAATATTATTAAATATCTCAATGTTCTGTTCTGAGACACTGCTATGTAATAGAAGATATTAGATTAATTACAGAGTGTCTGATAGAGAAATACTTCTCTCATAATATTCATCTCGGATTTTGATATCAAGATTCTAGAAACAGATGATCAATCTTGAAAGAATAGAATGAAGATTAGCATGCTTAAGAAGACACTAACTTTTGAACTTCTACAGACTCTTATAATCATAGACAAAGATCAGACTTATGAAGATTTCTGCATATAACTCTGAACATTGAATGATCATCTCATCAAGCTTAAGAGTATACAGAACAATAGTAGAAGATATTATATCTCAGTCACTCATACATCTGCATTAAAGAATAACAATGCAGATGTCATTAATTAAGTGAACTCAAATGTCTATATATAAACAAGAGTTTTCACTATCTGAACAGACTTTTAAGTCTCTAGACTCACTTCTGAAGAAGTCACTGATTAACATTAATAAGAGATATATATTAATTATAACTGACTAGAATATATTGCTTTCAACTGCTGATCAGTCTATGTATCTTCTCATTCAAAAGAAAGATCAATATTGATAATATATATCAATCACATCACATTGAAGAAAGATTTAGAAGGTAACTATGAAGATACTCTGATGAAACAGAGAAAAGATTAGCTTCTGTTCAAATTTATAAACAGAAGCTTGAAGAGATCAGATAACAATGATTTGAAGAGAAAATGATAATGAATACAATTCTTGTATCTACTGTGATCAATAATATGTATAATATAAAAGCCATGATAGACAGCAGTCTATATCATTATGCAATGATTAAATCTTCTGTTGTAAGATGTTATAATCTTCAGTGTATTCTTTTATCAAGACTCTGACTTCTTGCAGAATTTGATGACTCAAAGAATGTTTACACCTGTTATATAATGAAGCTAAACATAGATGTTAAAGAACATCAATATAAAGATATTCATGTATATAAAGTGAATAATCTTGATTATAATCTTATATTAGAACTTATCTGACTATCTGAACAAGATATCTTATTAAACACTTAAAACAGAAGCTTAATATTCTCTAATAATAATAGAGTTTAGAAAGATGATATTTATAAGACTATGAATCTGACACAGATCTCTGTCAATGCTTATGAAATACTCTGAAAAAGAAGTCACTGAAAAGATCACTGATAGTAAAACTATATAACAATCTATTTTATCAGCCTGGTCAATATTAAGAAAGCTCTAGAGAAGTTATTCTATACTATAATAACAGATTCTTATACAAAACTTTCTCAATAATATCATGAATATCTAGATATCTTTCATCAAGACAATATTATGAAAATACTCTTCTTACAAGGTTCAGAAGTGAATCACAGTATCAAGTTAGAGAAGAAGAATGATAAGAATTCTGAGTCATCATGAGATCTTCTTTATAATATATTTTGAGATGAACTTCTTCTTCTTCAGAAAACACTCAATGATCTGTTAAATAAGAAATTTATACATGTTAGTAATTCTTTCACTACAGCTTCTATTCTCTTTGTAAAAAAATCAGATGAAAAACTTTAATTCTGTGTAAACTATTGAGAATTAAACAGACTAATCAAGAAGAAGTGTTATTCTTTATCTCTTATCAATCAAACTCTAGCTTGTATTAAACAAGCTTAATAGTATATAAAACTAGATATTATCACTGTGTTTCATAAGATCTGTATCACTGAAGAA